CGCGCTCTGCATGGGGGGGGAGGAGGGGAAGTCCGGACATTAACAAATTCCCCCCGACGCTATTTTTAGTTCAAACATCCGGACATGGCCGGGGGAATCCGGAGGAATGGTAACCCTGGCCCTTGGCCTGACGCCAGCTCTGGAACGCCCCACCCCGCTCCCGGCCTGAGCTGGGTGCAAGGAGCAGTCAGCTGGAGGGACTTTGGCAGCTCTCCCGCCCCGTCCGATGTGCATAACCCAAGGTCTTGACTCCCAGCCAGGCCATCCCCGAATCAGCCTCATGGGAAGGCGGGGAGGGGAAAGCTGGTAACTCCCAGCACCTCGCCAGTTTTACACACACGCACTGCAGAGCTGCTGGGAGGTTGCGGTGCAGCCCCGGGTCACAGAGGCCAGCAGAGTCATGCTTGTTCTGTGCACAGCCCTAGCCGGGCTGCTGCTCCTGCTACCCCTGCTGGTGAACCTGCTTTTCCCCTACTGGTGGCAGGACCTGGTCATATCACTGTCCATCATCCACAAGGGATACAGATGTCTGCGCCGGCTCCAGCGCCGCCCTCCCCTCACCCTGCTCGATACCTTCTTGGAGAAGGTGCGGAGCCACCCGGAGAAAGCCCTGCTGCTTTTCGGGGAGGAGGTCTACACCTACCGGGACATAGACCGGCGCAGCAGCCAGGCGGCTCGGGTCCTGCGGGACGGCGTGGGGCTGCGGGAAGGGGACTCGGTGGCCGTCTTCCTGCTGAACGTCCCCGCCTACCTCTGGGTTTGGATGGGGCTGGCGAAGATCGGCTGCGCCATGGCGTGCCTGAACAGCAACATACGCGCCCAGTCCCTGCTGCATTCGCTCGGTGCCTGCGGGGCCACGGTGCTGCTGACCACCCCAGGTGAGCGGGGAGATTGCTCCACCTAGCGTCACGTCTCCTGGTGAGCAGGGACCAGCTGCATCCCGGGGCTCTGCCCCACAGCGAGGGGGGGCCCTGGTCCATCCCAGTGCAAGGTGTTCCCGCAGCAAAGGGACAGGGAACTGCCCATACTGGTTGGGTCTCTGATCCACCCCGGGGCAGAGGCATGGGACTGCCACCGGCTGAGGGGCAATTCACAACTTCACTGCCTTGGGGGGTGGGTCTGGCCTCTCATCTCAGTTTGGTGTTGTAGTGGTTAGAGCCAGGGGGCTGAGAATCACAACATCTGGGTTCTATCCTGGCTCTGGGTGAGGAGTGGGGGCTAGTGGTTAGAGCACGGGGGCTGGGAGCCAGGACTCCTCAGTTCTCTCCCTGGCTTTGGGGGGGCAGCGCTGAAAGTAACTTAAGGGACTTACTGGTATGCAGGGCAGCTGGGGTCCTGAACAGGGGGTGGCGCTCAACTGGGCGGGGCCTCGGGCAGATGGGGGCAGGCTCCCCCAGCCAGCCTGCCCTTCAGCATGGCCCGGCAGTGATTTAAAGGGTCCGGGGCTCCTGCCGCTGCTGGGAGCCCTGGGGAAGCTGTCCCTTCCCCCCCCCACCCCCCCATCAGCAGCCCTGCCAGTACGGTCAGCTGTGTACCAGCTCTTACCGGTACACCGTACCATACCGGCTTACTTTCACCTCTGGGGTGGGGTGTAGTGATTACAGCAGGGGGGCTGAGAGCCAGGACTCCTGGGTTCTGTCCCCAGCTCTGGGAGGGGAGTGGGGTTTAGTGGTTAGAGCAGGGGGAGGAGGGAGCTGGGAGCCAGGACTCCTGGATTGTTCACACAGGGGTCAACGACTGCACAGTGAGGGTGGTGAGTGGGGCCCAGGCTGCACACAGGGCTCTTGTCCTGCTCCTTACATCAAAGCCCTGCCGGCTGGGGGATCGGGAGGCACCCAGCTGTAGGTGTGCCTGGATCACAGCTGCATGGCGTGGGTACCAGCACTTCGGAGCCAACCGAAGTCAGAGCAGGCCCTGTGCTCTGTGGGAAACCTGGCATGGATTTGGGGGCAGCCCTCCTCTGCCTCCTGCTGTAAACTGCTAGACCCCCCAGAGTCAGGAAGAGAACCCAGGAGACCTGGCTCCTAGCCTCCCTGGTCTAACCACTAGACCCCACTCCCCTCCCAGAGCCAAGGATAGAACCCAGGAGTCCTGGCTCCCAGCCCTCCCACTGCTCTAGGTCAATGCCAGGTCCCCAGTTGCAGTCTCTCTCCTTACGGTAATTTCCCCAGGCCTGTGACCATTCTCCGGGTACCCGAATCCCCTTTCTCAGCTTGCCAGCGAAGAAGTTAAGCTGTGTGTTTACTCAGTTTCTAGGGTATAGTGCAGAGATATTACGTACAGACTGAATCAAGGCCACGGCTCAGGCAATCGGGGTTAAGAAGACAAGGAAAAGGTTTGGCAGTTCAAACCACTTGCCGCGTCACTTTTCATCGTGTGTGTGCACGTGTTTGTGTGTGGCTGTTTGCATCTGGATGTGCAGGCGGGGGTTTGTGCGTGTGTGCGTGTGGTTTGTGTGTGCGGCTGTTCCCTGCATGTGTGTTTGGGCAGGGGTGTGTGCACATTTGTCTAGGAGTATGTGCATGGACGCATGGATGTGTGTCTTTGTGTGTGTGTGTGTGTGTGTGTGCTGGTCTAGGTGTGCATGGTAGTGTGTGTGTGCATTTGTGTGTGTATGTTTGTGGGTATTTATGTGCATGTGAGTTGGTCTAGAGGTGCATGTTAGTGTGTGTTTGCATGTGTGTATGCATGCATTTGTGTGTGTGGTTGTTTATGTGTGTGTGTGCTAGTCTAGGTGTGCGTGTTCAGTGTGTGTTTGTGTATGTGTGTATGTGCGTCCATTTGTGTGTGTGTTCTTTTTTAATGCCTGTGTGTGCCTGCTGGGTGATATTTGGCCAGTCCCTTCCCGTCTCTGTGTCTACAGATGAAAAGGGATTCACCAGGGATTCCTATTATTATTCTGTGCGTGTGTGTGTATGGATGCATCTATTTGTTTTGTGTATGTGTGAGAAAGTAAGTGCGCCATTGGGTGCATGTGTTTGTTTGAATGTGTGTGTTCTTCAGTGTGTGTGTAGGCATTGGTGTGTGTGCATTTGTTCAGGGGTGTGTGCACCTGAATGTTTTTGTGGGTCTCTCTGCAAGTGCACCTGCATGGGTATGTATTTGTGTGTATGCCTGTGTGTGTCTGGTTGTGTCTACGTGTGTGTTTTGTGCGTATATGTGTATACATTAGTTTGTGTGTCTGTATTTGTGTGTGTCTCTCTCTGTGCGTGGGTTGGCGGGGACTATCTAGCTCAGGCTAAAGTCCCCTAGGGCTGTAATGCCTCTCTCAGAGTTCGAGGACGGAGGTTATGATGACAGCCACGCCCCAGCGTATACATACATGCCCAGCTTTGGCACCTAATAGCGGCAATAAAACTCCACAGCTGTTAAGACTAATCCCAGGCTACTGGGAGGGCATTGACAGGGGGAAACTGAGGCACAAAGTGGGTCAGTGACCTGCCCAAGGCTGCACAGCCATTAACCCTGCCTCTCCTCGCTCCGGTTGCTTATCCTAATTGGGTCCTGTAGCCTTGAACGCTTTTAATCATACTCTACGGCAATGTGGGGCGCTCACGTGCGATGGATGTTTTATAAATTCCCAGGTTCCAGCCAGAAGGGACTTATTGTAATTATCTGGTCTTAGCTCTGTATAACACAGGTCCAAGGACACAGGTCCAAGTATTCCCCTGATCTAATCCCTGCGTTAACTAGAGCATATCTTTAAAAAACGCATCCAATCCTGATTTAAAAACTGCCAGTGATAGAGCATTTCCCACCCCCCCCTCGGTAAGTTGCTCCAGTGCTTAATCACCCTCACTGGTAAAGATGCAGAAGCCTGCTTTCCAGACTGATTCTGTCTAGTTTCAACTTTGCCCAAACATTTCTGCTGTACTCCGCGCTGATTAGGCCTCAACTGGAGTATTGTATCAGGGGGTAGCCGTGTTAGTCTGTATCTACAAAAACAACAAGGAGTCTGGTGGCACCTTAAAGACTAACTGATATCTGACTCCTTGTTGTTAACTGGAGTATTGTGTCCTGTTCTGGGCACCATTTCAGGAAAGATGTGGACACATAGGAGAAAGTCAGGAGAAGAGCAACAAAAACAATGATTAAAGGTCTAGAAAACATGACCTATTAGGGAAGATTGAAAAAATTGGGTTTGTTTAATCTGGAGAAGAGAAGACTGAGAGGGGACATGATAATAGTTTTCAATTACATAAAAGACAGTTAAAAGGAAGAGGGTGAAAAATGGTTCTCGTTAACCTCTGAGGATAGGACAGGAAGCAATGGGCTTAAGGGAGGTTTAGGTTGGACATTAGGAAAAACTTCCCAAATGTGAGAGTGGTTAAGCACTGGGATAAATCGCCTAGGGAGGTTGTGGAATCTCCATCATTGGGGATTTTTAAGAGCAGGTTAGACAAACACCTGTCAGGGATGGTCTAGTTATTACTTACTCCTGCCTTGAGTGCAGGGGACTGGACTAGATGACCCACTGAGGTCCCTTCCAGTCCTACATTTCTATGACTCTGTGACTACGGGGATCTGTTTTGGTTTCGCCTTTATAAATTGAGACTTTATAAAATTAAAAGGAAAGGAAGTCTTGAGATGAAAAAGTCATTTCCAACCCAACAAACTGCAATGTTTTATTTGGAAAAGGTTCAAACGAAATGTTTTGAGCGTTTGATTGCTTCCAAATTGTCTTTCGTTTTCATTTTGTTGTTTGAAAGCCTAAAAACGCTTCAGATTGAGACTAAACCTTTCATCCCACATGAAACAAGTTTTGCCTCTGCTTTTGTGTCATCTAAAACTTTGAAAACTTTTGTCTTTGGTCTGATCCCAAATGATTTTCTTTCTCCCTTTGACTTTCCAAAATTGCTAATGAACCGAAAAATCGGTTATTCGCCCAGCTCTAGTTAAGGTATTGGGCTGGGACCTGGAAAACTCCTGACTGGTTCCTAGCTCTTGCTCAGATTCTGGAGAGGGGCAAAATTTCACAAAGGACCCAGAGCCTCAAAGGCTGAAACCGTCAGGGGTCAGGTGTCTGAAATACCTTTGGGGATCTGAGCTTTGGCATCTCAGCAAGGGTGTTCTTTCTCATATGCCTCCGGCAGCGCTCCCAGTTGTGAGACTCATGAGCAGATGTTCACACTAGTCACACAGTTGAAAATCTGGCCTCTTCTTTTTGAGGCCTAAATTACAATTGTTATGGTAGCAGGCAGAGGGTCCCGTCAAGATCAGGGTACTGTTGGATTATGTGGCCTAGTGAACTGAACTCTGATCTGGGGTCTACACTGGCTTGCTGGTTGATTCTGGGCTTCCATACCCCGTGCCTCAGTTTCCCCACATGTGGAATGGGGATAAAGATATCTTTGTGAAGTGCTTTGAGGCTTCTTGATAAACAGACCTAGATAGTATATTTGATTATGCTGGGCACTGCCCGGGTACATAATTAGAGGCAGCGCCTGTCTCAAAAAGCTCCCAGTCTAGAAAGACGAAGGGCAGAAGGGGAAACAGCTCGTCCACATTTGTCCAGCTTCATGCAGCAGGTCCAGGACAAAGTTGGAGGATAGAACCCAGGTGTCCTGACCCCTCCTCCCCCCGCCCGGTGCAGTGCGCTGTTCATAGATGGGAGCGGAGCTGTTTTGGAAATCCTGGTCTTGATCTCGCAGCGTGCCTCAGTTTCCCTGCTGCAAAACAGCAATGAAAAGCCATTTCCCTGCCTTACGGGTGGGCTCCAAGTACTAAGCTAAAAGATGCGCTCTCCACTCGGCTTGCTGGGATCCTGCTTGCAGAGCTAGGGAGGTGGCCGCTGGGTGCCTGAAGTTCGCCAGAATTCCAGCACGTGGCCAACACAGCGTGAAACGGGATTTGCTGTCAAACTCCAGGGCTTCTGGACTGATAGCTTTAAATCCCTATTGAATTCGGTGAAAGCCTCACTGCAGGGAAACTGCTGCTGAACCTCCAGCCTGCTTTACAATCCCCTTGCCCAGAAGGAGCCATTAGATCGACCCTGACCTCTTACACAACACGGGGCCAGAGAACAATCCAAGTTTACCTCTGGCCAGCCCTTGCCAAGCAACCCCAGGCTTTCCTAACCTTGGTGGAATGCAATTAATCATATACCCAGGCAGGCTGTAAGTTTGGTCCCGTGCTTTTTTTAATCCTTGGATCTCTGGCACCAGCAATGAGAGTTCAAATCTCGCCATGATCTGTAGGTCACTGACCGCTATCTCTGCCCGATCTGAAGTCAGTGGTAGGCTTATAATAGACCCCTAGTGAATTAGCGCCATATAAATGCCTAAGGACAAGCTCTGGGAAAGGTTTCTCTGTGTGTTTGCAAGATCAGCAGGGAGAATCGACCTGGAGTTAATCATCCTCGGGTTCAGATGAGAGGTGGCGCTGATAAGGATCAGGATAATGAGGGAACTATAAAAGAAGGATCATAAAGCGATAAGCGGACGCCCCCTTCTCTAGCTAACGGGCTTAGGACACTCCCCTGCCAGAATCTTCCTGGTGTAGTTAGAATTGACAGTAAAAGGCAGAGGGCAAATCTAGTGCTGGCTTTGATCTGGGAATTAGCCATGTGCAATAGGGAAAAAGCTTCTTGGTTGTTATCTCAGGAGCCCCTAGAGAGACTCCAGATGAGATCACGCCACATGGATTGCAAGGCCAGACGGGACCATTGTGAGCTCTAGTCCGGCCTCCTGTCTAGCACGGGCCAGAGAACGGCCCCACAGTAACCCCTAGAGCAGATCTTTCAGAAAAACATCCCCTCTCGATTTAAAAATTGTCAGTGATGGAGAATCCACAGGGACAGTCCCTGCCCCAAACTAGCTGACCCTCTACATAGACGAGAGGTGAGAGGGGAAGATGAGGCACAGAGAAGGAACATCGTTATGTTCACAGCACAGATGCTGAGAAGTTAGATAAAAGTATAACATTCTTTTGCTGGAAGGTTGCAATGTACCACAACTTGTATTACTTAGAAGCCAGAATGATAACTCACAAGAACCAAAAAACAGGTGCACCCCGGGATGGATGCAAATGGAGCCCTTCTTCCCCTGATCACGAACTGATCCTGGATGCAGTGCCTGTAACCATTGGCTCAATAATGTAGAGCCATAATTTTCAACCCCGAAGGTCTCAATGTAGGCCTTTACGTCTATCTATAGATGCCTACACCGGGCCAGGGCCTAGGAGCCCTGGATTCTATCACAGTTCTAGCCCTGACTTGCTGTGTGGTTTGGGATAATTCATGTCCCTGCTCCGTGCCTCAGTTTCCCCATCAATAAAATGAATCAGATCCCTGGTTGGTGTAAATCAGTGTCACTCCATTGGCGTGAATCGGCCCTGCGCCCTTGGAGTCAACATGCTTGACTCGCTGTATTTTTCTGGTACCCTTGTGTATGTGTCTGTGCCTGTATTAGGTATAGATGTGTGTTGAACTTTGTATCTGCGTGTGTGTGTGACATGCCCCTGGACTGTGGAGCCCCTGCACCCTCTTTAACTTTCCTGACCAGGGTGTCTCCTACCCTGCTATGCTAGTGAACAGCAAACCCCACCAGGCTGTGTTCACTCAGAGATCAGCATGCAGACGCACACCCAGCAAAGTGACACGAAGGCGCTTCCAGCCACTCATCAACTGCACTACAGGGAGCAAATTCCCCCAGCCTTGCCCCCAGAAATGTGTGACTTACACTGCTCAAGACCTCTCTGATCAACGCAAGCTCATTAATTAGTTCGCCACTCCTTCCAAGGGTAGTGGACGTGCCCCAGTCTCTAATCTGAGCAAATCCCCCCCTAGAAAAACTCACTGGTTTAGACCCGACATCAAAAGAAGCGGATTAACTAGAGAAAGAGGGATTTGAAGTGTTTAAGGGGCAGTGGCATAGAAGATTAGAACCGGTTACAAAAGGAAATAAAATAGCAAAACCGCGGTCTAAAGCCTAAACTTTACCAGGCTTATCATTCTAAAAGCAAGAGGATTTCTCTCCCCCAAAACTTCACAGCCGTCCCTGCTAAGTGGAACGCCTTCCAGGTAGGCCCAGCCCCTACCAAAGTCTCAATGTGGAGCTCTTTGATTTTCAGGCGATCTTGCTTCCCTGTGTAGAGATGCGGGGACGAGGCAGGCCACGGTGATGTCGCTGTCCCCCATTTATACTTTTCTTCAGGTGCTGGAAAAATCCATGCGGTGTCATGGGGTTGGGCAACCCTCGTGGTGGACATGAGCTGCTGACCATTTTCTTCATTATGAATTGCTGTTTTTTTATTGCACCTTTTGTCTACGTTGGGGCGCCAGAATGGGGGGGTGGGAGGGGCCCCAACACATTTTACCGGCCGTAAGGGTGAATGACGGGGTGGGGAGGGTTGGAGAGGAGCAAACAGGGGCAGGGTCTTGCGGGGAAGAGGCGGCATGGGGGCGGGCCTCAAGGGAAGGGGTGGTGCAAAGGCAGGGGCTCGGGGAGAAAGGGTGCCATGAGGCAGGGCCTCGGGGGGGAGGGGTGGTGTGGGGGTGGGGAATGGGCAGTCGGAGGGTGGGGGCTCAGGGAGAAGGGGTGCCGTGGGGCAGGGCTTTGGGGGGAGGGTGGCATGAGGGTGGGGGTTCAGGGGGGGTTATGGGCAGTGCGAGGTTGGGGCCTCAGGGAGAAGGGGTGCTGTGGGGCGGGGCCTTGGGGGAGGGGTGGTGTGGGGGTGGGAGTTTGGGGAGAAGGGGTGCCATGGAGTGGGGCCTCAGGGAGAGGAGTGGTGCGGGGGGCAGGGCTCAGGGAGAAGGGACAGTGCAGGAGCAGGCTTTGGCGGAGGAGGGGTGGTGTGGAGCGGGGCCTTGGGGGGAGTAGTGGCATGAGGGGGCAGGGCTCAGGGAGAAGGGGTGGCATGAGGGCGGAGCCAGTGTTCGGGCGCCGGTGGCCCCCCACTTTTAGGGAGCTTTCTCCACTCCTGATCGAGATGAGCTTTGGCACGTACGGCCTCTGTGTTTGCCGTTTCTCTGTCCTCTCCGAGGGGCTGGTCGGTGGGCGTTTCTCAGACTCACAACATGTTTCAGTCTATAGCGAAATCTCACAGCTTCATGTACAAGGATGACACACACGCATTTCAACAGGATAATGAGGTTCATCCAATTCAGGCTTTGCCCATGATACCTCACAAGGCATGCTCTGTACAAACCATCCCCTAGCCATCTCGCGGTGGTGAACATGTGGGTACAGGGGGGAACGTGGGGTGGGGTACAGTGTGTCACAGTGCGCCTCTGCGTGCGTCTGCTCTGTCTGTCTGCCCGCTCCCAACCTTTGTCTGTGTATCTGTGTGCGTCTGCATTGGCGGGCACATCTGTGTCTGTGTCTCCATACACCTATGGGTGCGCGTGATGCAGCGACCCGCGTTCCTCAATGGGGAAAAATGCCTTTCTCACCCCCTCTTCAGACCTCAAAGCCGCTATTGAGGACGTTCTGCCCAGCCTGCAACAGAAAGGGATCCGGGTTTTCTACCTGAGCGCCGAGTCCCCCACCAGTGGCGTGGAGCCTCTCCAGGGCCAGATAGATGCCGCCTCCGAGGAGCCGATCCCCATCGCTTTCCGAGCCAACGTCACCAGCAAATCCACTGCACTCTACATTTACACCTCGGGCACCACAGGTGAGGAGGAGACGTGTGATGGGAGTGCTGAGTAGCTGTACCTGGCTGTTAAGTAGCCTTGGAAAGATGATTGTTATAAAGAGGAGAGTGAAACATTTGTTCCCTTTATCCTCTGAGGACAGGACCAGAAGTATGGGAGCAAGGGAGGTTTAGGTTGGACGTTAGGAAAATCTTCCAAACTGTCAAGGTAGTTACACACTGGAATAAATTACCTAGGGAGGTTGTGGAATCGGAATAGCCATCGTTGGAGGCTTTTAAGAACAGGCTAGACAAACACCTCTCAGGGATAGTCTAGATAATACTTAGTCCTGCCTCAGTGCAGGGCACGGGACTATCGAGGTCCCTTCTACTCACACATTTGTACGATTAGATATTTGTTGGTAAATGTCGACAAACGTTGTTTCATCACGCAGGCCCAAACCGACAAAGCAATATTTCCACTGATAATCGTCAGATTGGCAAAGTATGAAAAAGGCTGCTTGAAAACGCAGGCGAGTTTGATTTAAGGATATTTCCTTTGTGCAAGTTGACATGTGATGTTGACAGTTTGTCTTTTAATGGTTATAAAGCTTTAAAGTTTTTGAATCTTAGCATCGGTTGCCAATAAATAATTGTGGTCTGACCCGCCTTTTGTCTGACCGCCCATAGGTGCTGACTCTGCGGGTGCTCCTGGGCTCAAGCACCCAGCTAAAAAAATAGTCTCCCCAGGGCAGGACTAATCTTTTGTGGGCCCCGGCGCCTGGAGTGTGGCCACATCCCCTGCTCCTCCTGTGCTCAGCCCTGAGGCCCTAGCCCTGCTCGGCCTCCTTCCCCTGAGGCCCTGCCCGCTTCTCACACAGGGGGAAGGGGGCAGAGAGGAGTACCCACAGGAAAACCCAAAAGTCAGCGCCTGTGCGACCGCCCCTAATTTCCTACAACTGTGAAAATTTAAATCGATAACAATCAAATTAAGATGCTTAAAACCTATAATTTTTGCGCAATTGAAAATTTAAATCAATTAATTTTAAAAAAATGCTTAAAAATAAACATCTGTCAACATTATTAAAAAAAACAAACTTTGCCATCTTGGAAGAGGGCGGCCATCTCTGGATGTTGTGACAAAGTTCCTCCTCTACCTTGGTGGGTCCTGCGCTTATTGGCGGATTTGCTCACTTCACAGATTCACCCTGTGGGTCGGGAAACAGTCCAGAGACCTTCCCCTCTGGTAGAAGCTATAGTCCAGGTCAATTCCTCCTGTGTTTGATCAGGAGTTGGGAGGTATGGGGGGACCCGGGTCCGCCCTCTACTCCGGGTTCCAGCTGGACTGCAGCTGTTTAGAATGCCTCCTGGTACAGTTGCACGACACCTACAACTCCCTGGGCTACTTCCCCATGGCCTCCTCCCAACACCTTCTTTGTCCTCACCACCGGACCTTCCTCCTGATAATGCTTGTACTTCTCAGTCCTCCAGCAGTACGCCTACTCACTCTCAGCTTCTTGCACACCTCTTGCTCCCAGTTCCCCACACACACTTCCTCTCCTCTGGCTCCCCATGGCTTGGCCGGAGTGAGCCGTTTTATAGCATCAGAGGGGCTTTAATTAGAGTCAGGTGCTTAACTGCCTCACCTGACTCTTAGCAGGTTAATTGGAGTCAGGTGGTCTATTAGCCTGCAGCAGCCCCCTGCTCTGGTCACTCAGGGAACAGAAAACTACTTATCCAGTGGCCAGTATATCTCCCTTCTGCTACTCTGCTGTTCCCAACTGGTCTGGGTCTATCACAATGTAAAATATTGATCGGCACTAGAGATAGTTGGGAAATGTGCAGCATCACGCAACGTTATTTCTTAGAATGCAGACTGATAACACGCAAGAACCAAAAGCAGAGAGAGACAGAGGAAGAGAGGCCCAGCTCACCTCACCGGGCTCTAGGCTGGCTTTTTGCAGGCTGATTACTCAAGATCCAAGTTGCGTGCTTCCCTACAGAGCCCCCCTCAACTGCAAGCAGGAAACCCCGTAACACTTAAAGAGATAGTTTGCAATTTTAACACAATTTTCAGTATGCCACAGGGACTGCTTTTTGTTTTGGTACATTCCTTACTTTGCACACACAAAAAAGGTTAAAAACTGGTCAACATCAGAATGAAACATTTTGAAATGATCAAGATGGAATTTTGATTTGATTTGAGCCCATTTTTTTAAATTTTTGGTTCCTAATTTTTTTTGGATATTTTGAAAGTTTGGGACAGGAATACTTTTCAAATTGCTGACAGTTTTCATGGGAGGAAAAAACGTGTTTCCCCTCAGCCCTAAAAAGGAGTCTTCTGCATCTGTAAACTTTGCATCCAACTTAAGGGATCAGGAGATGGGACTCCCAAAACTTTAATAGGAATAAGTGCTGTCATCTTGGAAAATGGCAGCCATTTCCAGTTTCAAAATATTGATCAGCACTAGTGAGGGTTGGAAAATGGAATTTTTTTTGGATGAAAACAAAAATAATTTTTTGTTTTCGTCTAAATTGTTTGTGATTTTTGGCACAAAAAAAGTTACGTTTTGATTTTGACCAATGAAAATTCAAATACCGAAATATTTTGACCAAAGCACCAAATATTTTTATTCTGAAATACCAGCATGGTGCCTCATGGGAGTTGTAGTTCAGGTCCCCACTTGCATAGGCGCTGACTCCATGGGTTCTCCAGGGTTAAGCACCCACAGAAAAAAAATAGTAGGTGCTCAACATCTACCAGCCACAGCTGTCCAGTGGCGCCACTGGTCAGCTGTTTGGCCACGCCACTGATCAGCTGATTGGCCACGCCACCGATCAGCTGTTTGGTGGCTAGCAGGAGGCGCTTGGGGAAGGGTGGAGAGCAGCGAGTGGGTGGGGGGCCTTAGGGGAGGGGGTGGAGCAGGGGAAGGAAGAAGTGGAGTGAGGGTAGGGCCTCAGGGGAAGGGGTGGAGTGGGGGTGGAGCTCCCACAGGGAAAAATAAAAGTCAGCACCTATGCCCTCTTGGACAGGGGAAGTAGTGCACCATGGGAGTGCCTGGCTGTGGTGCATCATGGGAGATGTAGTTCAATCCAGGAGCCCGGGTCATAAAGGAGAAGGGAGTCATGCGGTAACTGCACTACAAAACCCATGAGGCATCACTAAACACAATTCCTTTGGCCTACAAGGACTCCCGAAAGCTGCCATCATCACCCACTTGAAGCTGTGCAACATGGTGACCATGTTATACATAAGTGGCGTCAAAGCCGAGGACGTGATCTACACCCCTCTGCCGCTGTACCATTCGGCTGCACTGCTCGTTGGACTTGGAGGATGCTTGGAGGTTGGTATGTACAGAGCGTCGGCACGGGTCTAAAGACACAGAGGGTGCAGGGACCACCACTGGGAGAGGTGGATGGATAGAGAAGTGGTTGGGTATGGAAATAGATAGATAGATAGAAATGCAAAAAAGTGCATTTTTCCCATGCCAGGTCATCTTTAAGCAAACATCATTCTTAATTCTTATTATTATTATCTAGATATGGATTATAAACTGGCCGTGAACAAATTCGGGCTGGAAATTAGAAGATGGTTTCTAACCATCAGAGGGGTGAGGTTCTGGGACAGCCACCCAGAAGGAGTTGTGGCTCACTGACAGTTTATGTTTTATGCTCCTGAAAGGTCATGCTTCAGGGTTTCAGCCAACCAGCGGCAGGGGTCAGGAAGGGATTTCCCCACCCCCGCACACAGTGTATTCTATTTTTTGTTGCTGTTGTTTTGTTTTTATCTCCTTCCTCTGAAGCAGCAGGGATGGCTGCGGCTGGAGATGGGACACAGGACAGGGCTCTGAGGTGGCACTGAGTATTCTCTCTCAAGTGCTTGGCTGGATGGTTCTTGCTCACGTGCTCAGGATTAAACTGATCGCATTAGGTGGGGTGGGGAAGGAGTTTTCCCCCAGCTCAGATTGGCAGGGACTTTAGGGGTTTTTTGCCTTCCTCTGCAGCGTGTGGGTCATGTGACAGGATTATCTGGGTGTATCTCACTTAACCATTTCACTGCCATTGCGGGGACCTCGCATAGGGTCCCTCCTATTCTCTGCCTGTGGCACACACCATGTCTCCTGTGGGCTGTAATATACTGGTCCCATTTCAGTTGCTGGGTTTAGCGGGCAGGTGCTTGGTGGAGTGGGTGGCCCTGTGACATATAGGAGCTCGGAGAGGTGATCAGATGGTCCTTTCTAGCCTGAAACTCTATGACCCTGAGCCCCAGCCGTGGCCCAGAACCCCACTGGGCTAGGCGCTGTACAGGCACAGAACAAAGAGACGGGCCCTTCCCTTCCCTCCTAAGTTATTGCTAATTCTGCCGAGCTGGGCTCTAAAACTCTTCTCTGAGCGTGAAGTTTAAACCATGTGGAATTTAGCTCCTGTGAAAACCGTTTGTTCAGGTTATTGTCACCCCTTTGCCAAGTACTCCTTCACACAACACAACCGTCAACCTGTGGAACTCACTGCCGAGGGATGGCCAAAGGTATAAATGGATTCAAAAAATAATTAGATAAGTTCACGGAGGAGAGGTCCATCAATGGCTATTAGCCAGGATGGCTAAGAGTGTCACGGCCAGATGCTGGGACTGGACAACAAGAGATGGATCAGTCAAGAGTTGCCCTGTTCTGTTGCCCTGAAGCATCTGGCACTGGCCACTGTTGGAAGACAGGATACTGGGCTTGACGGACCAATAGTTTGACCCAGGATGGCCATACTTATGTTCCTTAAGTTTCTTAAGCTGTAGAGGATACCCAGAGCCTCACAGCTCAGCTTTCCACTGGAGGAGATACATTCTTAAAGGCAGGTTGTTTATTTTTATATTATATGTGCCAGGCCTTGCACAGAGATGGTGTTGTATTCATTTAGATGGAATATGTGGGCCAAAGGTGTTAACACAACCCAGTCGCTGTCCAACATTAAACAGTGCTCAACAAGATTCAGGGTTTGGCCTCCAGGGAGCTTAGCTTGCTTAGGGCCACGGCAAATGCACCATCATTTTTTTTTTTAACCTTCTATTAAAGCTACAGAAAGGAAGGAAAACCAGCTAATGCCTTTGAAACGTGAAGTATTGAGTAGGGCTTTCACATGAACAAGTCCTGTCCCCTTTCCCTTTATCTGGAGAGTTTTAGAGGAAAACACTCCTTGTCTCTCCTACGGTACCCAAGACGGTAACGATCCTTCTGGCGAAAAGAGATGAGGTTAGCTGAGGTGGGCTGGAGCTGTGGTTGTTGCCGCTGGTGTTTGAATCTGATCCCGTTTCATCTCAGGTGGTGTGTGGGGCTCAGCAGGAGCCAGTACGGGTGGTGATATCGTCTGGGTTCCTCTCTCTGGCCCAGACATCTTTGAGGATTAGGGCAGAGGCCAGATGTCCCAGGAGACGGTGGGGGTGGCTGTCATGATGGTGAAGCTTTCTACATAGCCTCCATCTGTTCTTTTTCTATTCCCCCCCCCAAAAAAAATCTTTCTTTAAGGACCCACAAAGGGAGTCATGAGTGGAACTGCCTGTCCCCTCATTATTTTGGCCACCAATTAGGCCTAGTTTCTGACACACAATTTTGGTTCATTAATTGCCAGTTCCACGTCTTCTGGTTTTACCAAGCATGACTTTAAGACAGTCCTTGAGTTATCTCCATGGGCCTCTTTGTTTAGACTACCTCAGTTTTCCTTTTCCCATTGACATTTGTTATTGTAGGTTATTGTGACATTTTATAAACTTCTACAGACTTTTTACAGTTGGGCTTACAAATAGGGCAAATGTATAGTCCCAATTATTACAACAGGGGTCAGTATGCAGGGGAAATCCTTTCTTTCAGAAATCTCAGCATGCCACCAATGATCGATGCACCGAGAGCAACTAACTGTGTCTCAGAAATCAGCTCTAGTCAGAAAGAAACTCACGGCTCCTCCTAAAAAGAAACTGCTTCACAAAACTAACCATAATTCAAACATGTCTCCAAAGACTGACCATTTGCTCGCACGCCAAGAAAAAAGCCTATACGCAGCAGTGCCACCTGGTGACTCCTGCCATATTATTATTATTATTTGTTTTATGATGTCAACTAGGTGTTGTAGCTCTGTTGTGCTAGGCGCTGTACAAACACAGAACAAAAAGATGGTTCCGGCCCTGAGGAGTATAAGACGAGATACAACAAGTGGATTTAACAAATAGTCAGGCAGAACATAAGGCAAATGGTGGACAAATCAAATCAGTGGGATAAGCAATGTACCACTTACCTCTTCAGTGCCATGATTGGGTTAGGGTAGACTGGAAAGGCTGTATTAGATGGGGTTCACATGCCCCCCCATCACCTCTCCTTCCCTCTCCCCTAGGAGCCACCTGCGTCTTGCGTCCCAAGTTCTCCGTCTCCCAGTTCTGGGATGACTGCCGGCGATACCACGTCTCTGTGATCCAGTATGTAGGGGAGGTGATGCGCTATCTGTGCAACGCGCCCAAGGTAACCCAACGCCTTTCCCAGGGGCCGGGGGGATGCTAGATGGTCTTTGGTTGCTAATCCCAATGTGGCAGGTGGGGCAAAGCAGTATGGAGTCTGCTATGTCGTGTTGTTGTTATTATTATTATTAATACAGGGTACCAGCACAGCACCAATTTAACCACAGAGTCCTTCATTAAATCCAGATGGCCAAGTGGTATTTACACAACTGCTCCAAACTAGCCTTAAATGTCTAGGCAGTCATCACCTCCTTACAATAATGTGCAGTGATAAGTTTTGATCGGCAACTTATAACAGAATTAGCTTAAACCCACATTGGCTGGCGCCAACTGGTCAGACAGATACCAGCAACAAATATTTGAAGAGTTCACCCTTTTATGCTTTATCTACTGGAACCCCGGGTGCCGGAACAGGAGGGTCCGGGAGCCATGGCCCCATTCCTCCCACTGGCCACAAGGGCAAGCGATAGGTGGGAGGGGGCGGAAAGGAGAGAGTAGGGGGTGGGGCCTCAGGAGGAAGAGGTGTTGTGGAGGCGGGGCCATGGTTCGGGCGCCAGTGGGTCCCGCGCTTTTCGGGAGCTTCCACCGCTCCTGACTGGAACCTACATGACTATTGTCACTGCTCCTTGAATTCTGTTCTTCGCTAAAACAGGTTAGAACCATCCCTGGTAATTGGGGCTTTTTAAGCTCAGTATTTCCAACACGATCTCTCCAGACCTTCCCAGAACTTCTCAACACAAATTGGCAAGCATGATATAGTCGTTAGCCAAGTTAATTTAACCCTTTATATACCTATCCAATCCTTCCCCTGAGGGTGAAATTCAGAGATGAGTTCAAGGGCCATCTTGACCAACTACAGAGAATGAACCATCGTTAGGCCTGGTCCAAAATGTTCTCTCTAAATTCTTTTTTGATGGAAAAAATTAGTTTGTTGACTAAGCAAATTTTTTTCACGGAAAGTTTCTACTCTCTGTGGAAAATTGCGGTTTTTTGTCCAAAAAACAAATGCCCAAAAATCGAAAAATTTCAGCTGAAAACTGAAATATTTTGATTCTGAAATGCTGCCATGGTGCCACATGGGAGTTATAGTTTAGTTGCTTCTTGTTCCAATTTTCCTCTACAGGTCAGGCTCCCCGTAGACTACATCTCCCAGGATGTACTACAACCAGGAACTCCCATGATTCCCCTACTGCCTCCCCTCTCCAAGAGAGGTATCATGGTGCATCATCGGAGATGTAGTCTAACCAAGGAGCCCAGCCTGTAGAGGAGAATGGGAGTATCAGGCACCTGGACTATGTTTCTCATGATACGCCACAACCAGGGACTCCCATGATGCACCTACTGTCTCTTCTTTCCAAGGGGGGGGGGGTTCATCATGGTGCATTATGGGAGATGTAGTCCAACTAGAAGCACCTGGACAACCAGTCCTATGAACACCCTGTGACGGGTTGGATCACAGAAACCCCCTTGGAAGCTGCCATCTGATATGCCAAGACTACTTCTACCCCTGCTTTCCCTGCCAGCTCAGGACTCCAGCACCCTGTCTTGCTGAGCCAGACACACCCGTCTGCTCCAACAAAGACCCAGGGTCTGAATTACTTGCCCAAAAACTGCAGGTTTACCTGAAAGCAGCTAGCAGAAGTGTTCCTGTCTTTAACACTCAGATGCCCAACTCCCAATGGGGTCTAAACCCAAATAAATCCGTTTTACCCTGTATAAAGCGTATGCAGGGTAAACTCATAAATTGTTCACCCTCTATAACACTGATAGAGAGATATGCACAGCTGTTTGATCCCCCAGGTATTAATACATACTCTGGGTCAATTAATAAGTAAAAAGTGATTTTATTAAATACAGAAAGTAGGATTTAAGTGGTTCAAAGTAGTAACAGACAGAACAAAGTAAGTCACCAAGCAAAATAAAATAAAATGCGCAAATCTATGTCTAATCAAACTGAATACAGTTAAGATCCTCACCAGTTCCAGAGTGCTCCCTTTTACAGACTAATCTCCTTTTAGCCTGGGTCCAGCAATCACTCACACCCCTTGCAATCACTGCCCTTTGTTCCAGTTTCTTCCAAGTATCCTGGGGGGTGGAGAGGCTCTCTCTTTAGCCAGCTGAAGACCACATGGAGGGGTCTCCCAGGGGTTTAAATAGACTTTCTCTTGTGGGTGGAGACCCTCTCCTCACTCCTATGCAAAGTCCAGCTCCAAGATGGAGTTTAGGAGTCACCTGGGCAAGTCACATGTCCATGCATGACTCACAGTTTTTACAGGTAGCAGCCATTGTTTACATGCTACTTTGAATGTCCTCAAGTAGACTTCTTATGTGGATTGAAGCATTCCAAGGTCCATTGTCCTTTAAGTGTTTCTTGATTAGGTACTTCATTTCAACCTTCCTTTCTCCAGGAACTGACCAAATGCTCTACTAAGGTTATTTAGAACAGGAGGACTTGTGGCACCTTAGAGACTAACAAATTTATTAGAGCATAAGCTTTCGTGGACTACAGCCCACTTCTTCGGATGCATATAGAGTGGAACGTATATTGAGGATATATACATATATATATGTATATA